GTCTTTTAGTTTATTGTACTGCTTCAGTATTTTGGCTGGATGCTGGTGAAAGGATGGTAAGAAAAATTGACACACCACGCAAGCGTTTTCGAAGTCAAAACTTTCACATCCGCCGACGCTCGATATCTGTATATTAGGTTTTGACATCTGAACCTATGGCCGCCAAAAGACAAATTTGCTGTTGCTCCAATTTTTAATTCTTCAATTAGTTTGCTGTTTTGCGCAAAATTGTAGTCAGTGTGCTTCCAGAGTCCTGAAATACATAGGTACTGACTTCGTGCCCCTTACATAAAAACTTACTGAAAGAATGGAAAACAGGCACTCCATAGACTTTGTTTTCATCTCCGTAGTTTTTGGAACAATTTGCTGAGTCTCAAGGATACTGAAGAGCAGTTTTTGATTGCGTAGATTGCTGTTTCCCGTCGTGTTGTTAATTAAACTTCGTAAAGAAGTGAAAGATTTCATATTTTTTAACCCGGAGAACGGCATATCAAACTTGACAGACACTCACGTGATCTGTGCCCAGATTTCAGACAAGTAATGTAAAGGTTTTGTTGTTGTACTACCATCCATCGAGAATCAGGAGTTTTGGAGCTGAAAAATGGGCAGCACATGAGAACCTGATGTCTGTTATTGAAAAAGCAAGAAGTTCTTTTGTTGGTGCCACTAGTAGTCTATCTATTGCCACTCTGGTATCATCCGCGCTTCTGTTGATCTGCCGTTAATTTTAACGTGCTCGTTGTATGAAAACTTTTCAGTAGAGTGCTTCATTATAATCTTTGATTGGGATTGAAAAAAAAAGCAGTTCTTCAAGTCTGCGAACCATGGTTGTTTTAGGTTAAGCGCACTCAGTTAGTGTTTCCGGTTTGCGCGAGAGAAGTCTTGGAAAACGCGTAAATCTTTTGATGAAGCAGTTAACAATAGCTGTTGGATGGTCGAAACGTCGCGGTAACTCTCCAACTGCATCCTCAAACAAATTGTCGTTGCAGACAAAGCCTTCAGTCTTAGTTTTACTTTTTCCTGTGACTAGTCCTTGCAGGTGTTTCTACGAAGAGAAAAAATAATCAAGTATTAAGATCCATCCAATTTGTTGAGTCTCTTTCAAAAGTAGCGAAATTGATTTTTGGCGGTGAATTGGAGAATTCAAAGCGTCCACAGTTGTCGAAGTTTGCATTGGAAGCTGATGATTTCAGGTTTCCGCCAAGTATATGAAACTCTTTTGTCCGCAACCCCTATTTAACTAAATTTTTGGTCACCTCCTTCGTTGCACTAGTAGCTGACACTTCATTTGTTGTATCAACAACATCTTCTTCATCGTCGGCTGAGTGTTGTCTTGTGTAATTTGATGCCTGTTAAGTTGGGTTGAAGTATTTTGTCAAGTCATTGTCCAGGATTGAGCGACCATCGCATGTCCATATGCTGCTCGTTTGCATTGTTGACGTAGCTCTTTTTTGACTGTTTTCATCATTCAGCCTAGAGTTCAACTCCTTTTCTAGTTTCCCAAATGATCTTTTGTCTTATTGGTGAGTTTATTATGAAACTTTATTTGTAGTAGTTTGTAGGTCGTTCCCTCACGGCTGTCTCTTGGTGTTGTTGATAGCGTCAACCAGTTTGTTTTAGTCGAAAGTTTTGATAGTTTGGTTTGGTTCAAAGTTACTACCAAAATTCTGAAAACTTTACGTTGTATTTTGGGTTCAACAAAACAATAGAAAAAATTGTGTCAAATTTGCAATGTTAAAAGTTATATAAACCACTAAGAGACGTAGAATAAATTTTTTCTTTCAATGGAATGAAAATTATTCCATTGCGTTCAAAAAGATTAGTAATGAAATAGTTAATCCTTCCTAAAAGACACATTTTGGCCTTAAACGTCTACCAAAAGCGAATTATGACGCATCACATCGAATTCTAGGGGCATCTTTAAAATAACTCCGTGGAAATAACATGAAAGGTTTTTTCATTTGCATCAAGATTTTCAAATCACAACAAAGCAAAAAAAACTCGACCCAAAAAATTTAGAATTGCTAAAAATACTATGGGCAGTCGAACACAACAAAAATATTCAAAAATAAATTGCATTATTTAAATTTATGTTTTTCGATTTAGAAAGAACTACCGATCACAAAGCCCTCGTGTTTGTTCACTCTTTATATCGTAGCACAGACAAAACTTATCATAGTAGATTAACTCGTTCGTTAGACAGATCACTACTTTCTAAAACCTCAATTAACCAGTTAGCGGGCAAAGATATGGGTTTTTTTAAACAGATAGTTAAAATTCCTTCGCTGAAAGCAGTCCCTAGCTGAAATTTTGCAAAATAACACTGCAATAAAACCAAGCGAATAAACACGAAACGTAAGCTGTAATGCAATAGCTTTTAAGCTAGAAAACTCCAACTTCGCAAAATTATCTTGTCGATTCTGATTTTCATTAATTCCAGTCTCCAAGTTTGTATTTGTAGGCGCAGTCGAACCAAACTTTGATCCTCGAAATGTATTTCTTTGTTGGATTTTTCCGATGTTAACTTAACGGAATTGTTTATTTCCAGTTCATCGTTCTTCTATTTTTCAACTGTAAATACTATTTTATCGATATAGTATGAAACAATAATCGTATGAATCAATCCAATATGATTTTTTTTTAGTCTGTCTAAGACTCCCATAAGTGAAAGCTAAAGAAATCATCATATTCCGGTATGAAAACTTCTCATAAATTGAACTATCATCATCTCATCTTGCTTCAGTAAAAAATACCAAGAAAAATTTTAGTTGACTGAAAAACCTGTGGAAGTTTCCTCTTTTGGTTCAGAAAAAATATTAATGCTTCTGACATAAGAAGATGCGATATTAAATCCTTTAACTAAGGCATTCCACGAGAAAAAAGAATTAAAGAACTGCAAATACGTGGCATTTTTCTATCATTACATAAAAAACTGCATAAAACTGACATATTGCCGTACAATAACGCAAATATACCATCATGGCGTAACCTATAGTTAGTGCACAAAAGGCGGTGAGAATGTCAAAAAAATAATGCGTTTCTTTTGAAAAACTACCCGGTTTTTCTGAACCTAGGGAAAAAATCGTTTTTCAAAATTTTTTTCCCTAAAAATTGCTTCTAATATTTTTTACCGATTAAGTCACTGATTTTCTACAAGAGTACACTCATTTTCTTTGAACTCCGAATTCTATTAGAGTTGACCACTTTTTTTGTTTAACCAGTCAAGAGTTTTAAAAGATTTGCTAACCCATTCATTTAAACTTATTATTTTGCCCAGTCTGAAAGCATAGATCAAATGGATTGGTGGAGAAACTTGTAAATACTGTAAGAAACAACTCCTTGCTATGTAATTTGATTTTTCCAAACCCTCATTAAGCAACAAATTTATATGAATTATTTGGAATCAACGTTTTAAAATTCAATTTCATTAAAGTGCTATTCTTTTGAATAACACTTCGGCAAAAACTTGAATACATTTTGGAAATCTTTAGCTTCAGATAATTTCATTGCCATTTAACACAAAAAAATCAATCGTTTCAAAGAATCGAGCTAGGAATTGGGGATTTAACAATCGAATCGAGGATCGCTGAGTAGACGAGAGCACATTAACAGAAAAGCCTAAAAACAATAGAAAAAGATTAAGTTTCAGGCAATCAATCAAAAACGATCGGAGGACAACACAGCAGAATTTTTTCGGAGAAAAATTAACCACAAATCCGATATCACTTTTCGTAAATCCGGTAAAAAACATCTGCTTTCCATGACAATATACCTTTTCCGTACTTTGCCAATCTAAATCTCGCAGCAGAAAAATCAGAAAAGTTTCTCAACCAACAAATCCAACTAAGATTCCTTCGACTCCGATGATCATAATTTAATCCTCATCATAATTATCACACGAAATAGAAGGAAAACCACACACCAGCAACAAAGAAGGAAAAAAAACGACTGCAATGAAATCCTCAAGAAGTAAGAAAAAACGCCGTCAATTTCAGAAACCCGGTAGATAACACTAAAGTTATCACAAAAGTTAATAGAACTTTTGATTGAAATTCCGTATTTCATTAATCGGCAAAAACAATTAAAAACAGGGTTTTTGATTTTTAGATTTAAGATTTTTGCACATGGTTAGCGGAGAGTTTTACTTTTTATTGGCCTAATAGAGACATTGACTGCCTTGAACTACATCTTTTTTTCTACAATTTATGTTCTTCAAAAACTCGTTTATGATACTGAATGTTTAAGCTTGAATCATTAAACGGCTAGAAAAAAAACGTTGCTCGAAACTTAGCTTTACAAGTATTTTCTTCAAACAGATCCAAAAACAAATAAAAGAGCAGTACTTACCAGGAACCAAATAATTCCGCTAGAATCAAATTTTCACGGGCTGCTGAAAAATGCTAGTCTTACAGTTTTTATTTATGGATGCTGATCATTGACTCTATATTTTTCCATAGGAAAAAAATTGTATGAAATTAGTATGACAAACTTTTTCCCATAAAATAAATCGTATGACTAGCATTTTTTCATAAAAGAAATTGTACGGTAAAAATTTCCAGAGATTGATATATTTTTTTTTGTTGCGCTTTGCATGTTTGTGTTTTGCCCTAAAACACAAAAATCGAAGAATGTCTTAGAAGAGGTCAACTTGGGTTAGAAGAGTTGGCAGAATTGGGGCAGAATCTTCGTACTAATAAACCCCACTAGCTAAAGCTCGCGAGTATGATCGAGCAGCACGCAATATATACTTCGTCTGAAATACTAAACTATGCACTTCATTTTTCACCTGAACACTTTTCGCCAAAAATGTTCTCTTTAGATGAACATTAGTTTTCAAATATAGAATTCAAATTGCATTACTCATAGTACCCAAGCAGAGTTTTGTACGATTCATACACCTAATTAGGTGACAAAACTGTTTGAAAACTCCACTAGCTCAAATTATGACTTCGAGTAATATCTAGAATCGATTTCTTTTATTCAAAAATTTGTAACTAGAAACCTCTATTAATTCTATTAATCTATAATATATTTTCAAATCGGGTAAATTTTTTGAGCTTTATGTAGGATGCATACCACATTTTGTTCATTGTAATTCTTCAGCACCGTTTTGTCAATATTTATAATTTCTAATCTCGAAAACTGGTTATGAGATCTGAAACAAAAATAAGCCCAGTGTAAAGCAAAAAAATTAGATCTGCGAATGTTTTTTAAATTTCAGGGTAAATTTGTTCGAGATGTTTCCTGCACCATAATTTCCATTGTTTCAAGCTCGTGGGGTTTCATCTTCTATATTTGAGTCCAATGCCGCACTCACTGTTCTGGACAAGAGAGATAAGTCTGAGCCAGACACAGAAGCTACTCCTCTACTGTAAAATAAGCGGAAAATTAAGAAACATTTCATTTTCGTGATGTCATACTGGGATCTCGATTATTTGTAGGGAAGTTTTTGTTAAGACCACTTCACGAAATGGGCAGCAACTATGAGAATTATGACTAAGTCGTGCTCCGTTGTTCAAAAGATATTTCAGAAAAGCTCAAAAACACCGATGGCCCAAAAAATGCTCAAAAAATGACAAAAAATTCAAAATTCGTATCCAAAGAGCTAATCATTCAGCCAAAATTAGTGTGATAAAATAGTTACAAAAGGAAAAAGTTACTCCCCTCCTTTCGCTACTGTCAATTTGTAGGGTTGGGATTGCAGAAAATGCCCTCTAATCAATCTCACCCGGCTGTTTGTCTGCGTCTGCCAGTAGACTGGGATCCTGCCACAGTCGATGCTTTGGACCCCACTAATGATTGGTGTGAACTCATTTTTCCTTCCCCTCCCCGACTTGTCTCTGTTCTGTCTGACTCCCCATTGTTCTGTTAGAAACAAAAGTACTACCATATGTTTTTAATATTAAGAAGCCCCTCTAATTCCTAATTTGTCCCACGACTGCCAAAAACCCCTGTATTTTTCAAAAGGGGAGTAATTTTGCAACTAGCCTCCGTTTACAGCCGTTGGGTTAGTTTTTCTAGGTGCAGGGGCTCTTTTGTTGCTAAAAAGGGAAAATTACCAAAAATATCAAAAAAAAACGAAAAATAGTCAAAGTATTCAGTTCATTAATTCTCTCAGTTCCCTCGAACCATCAATTATTACTGAAGATGAAAAATAATAAGTGTTTTGAACATTTTAAAACTAGACTTTCAAAATTGTTCATTCATTTTTCTATTTTTTTGGATAAATTTTGGATACTTTGATGATTCTGCGTACCTTCTGCTGTTGGAGTCTTTCAGTGAGTAGCTCTATCTGCTCTTCCAGCTCCATCTGCATCTGCTCCGCGCCTTCTGCGCTTCCCACTAGAAGATCCGCTAGTTTCACTTTTTCGTCTCTCTGAAAGTATAGTAAAAAAATGTAAGCAAGAGTAAAAGGCATCTGTACCAGTAGAACAGAACGTTTTGGCCACACGTTTCAGCCGAGTTGTTATTGCCAAAACAAAATCTTTTTCCATTTTTTTTTTCATTTTTTTCATCTTTTTGGTGAACGCGAGAGGGACGCTAAAAAGTAGAACAGACGACTAAAATATTGCATTAACGTATATTAATTAAAGTGTTCACCGTTTTTACTACATTCAAAACACTTGAAATAAACAATGACCCTTCAGTTGCTGCTCTAGTTTTTTGTTGCACGTTTCCACGCAATTCAGGTACCAAAAAAATCATCTGGATGGCTATATCATAACAAATACCTAAGGTCTTATTTCGATTAATGCTAAAACAAATCCAAAAACTGTACTCCATATTGCGAAAACCGGTTGGAAACTTTTGTTTTTTAGACAAATTTAAAATTAAATTAAATTATATTTGTCTGAAAAGCAAAACTTCAATTCGATTCTTCTGGTCATTTAAAAAAGTTGCGGAAAATTCTTATCCAATAGCTCGGCTCTTTTCCGTCAGTAGTTATTGACAAATTTTTTGCTGAAAAAAATCACAGCGGGGGTGGTGGCACAACTTTTTTTAAAAAGTTTCGCCCCTCACACATTTCGCCCCTCACACGTTTCGCCCCTCACACGTTTCGCCCCTTACACAATTCGCCCCTCACACATTTCGCCCCTCGCACGTTTCGCCCCTCACACATTTCGCCCCTCTCACGTTTCGCCCCTCACACGTTTCGCCATAACACGTTTCGCCCCTCACACGCTTCGCCCCTCACACGTTTCGCCCATAACACGTTTCGCCCCTCACACGTTTCGCCCCTCACACGTTTCACCCCTCACACATTTCACCCCTCACAAGTTTCGCCCCTCACACGTTTCGCCCCTCACACATTTCGCCCCTCAAACGTTTCGCCCCTCACACATTTCGCCCCTTGCACCTTTCGCCCCTCACACGTTTCGCCCCTCACACGTTTCGCCCCTTACACGTTTCGCCCCTCACACATTTCGCCCCTCGCACGTTTCGCCCCTCACACAATTCGCCCTCTCACGTTTCGCCACTCACACGTTTCGCCCCTCACACGTTTCGCCCCTCACACGTTTCGCCTCTCACACGTTTCGCCCCTCACACTTATTGCCCCTCACACGTTTCGCCCCTCACACGTTTCGCCCCTCACACGTTTCGCCCCTCACACGTTTCGCCCCTCACACGTTTCGCACCTCACACGTTTCGCGCCTCACACGTTTCGCCCATCACACGTTTCGCCCCTCACACGTTTCGCCCCTCACACGCTTCGCCCCTCACACGTTTCGCCCCTCACACTTTTCGCGCCTCACACATTTCGCCCTAACACGTTTCGTCTCTCGCACGGTTCGCTCCTCACACGTTTCGCCCCTCACACGTTTCGCCCCTCACACGTTTCGCCCCTCGCACGTTTCGCCCCTCACACATTTCGCCCCTCACACGTTTCGCCCCTCACACATTTCGCCCCTCACACATTTCGCCCCTCACACGTTTCGCCCCCCACACGTTTCGCCCCTCACACGTTTCGCACCTCACACGTTTCGCCCCTCACACGTTTCGCCCCTCACACGTTTCGCCCCTCACACATTTCGCCCCTCACACGTTTCGCCCCTCACACGTTTTGCACCTCACACATTTTGCCCCTCACAAGTTTCACCCCTCACACGTTTCGTCCCTCACACATTTATCTCCTCACAAGTTTCGACCCTCACAAGTTTCGACCCTCACACGTTTCCCCACTCACACGTTTCGCCCCTCACACATTTCGCCCCTCACACGTTTCGCTCCTCACACATCTAGCCCCTCACACGTTTCGCCCCTCACACATTTCGCTCCTCTCACGTTTCGCCCCTCACACGTTTCGCCCATAACACGTTTCGCCCCTCACACGTTTCGCACCTCAAACGTTTCGCCCCTCACACGTTTCGCCCCTCACACGTTTCACCCCTCACACATTTCACCCCTCACACGTTTCGCCCCTCACACGTTTCGCCCCTCACACATTTCGCCCCTCACAAGTTTCACCCCTCACACGTTTCGTCCCTCACACATTTATCCCCTCACAAGTTTCGACCCTCACAAGTTTCGACCCTCACACGTTTCGCCCCTCACACGTTTCGCCCCTCACACGTTTCGCCCCTCACACGTTTCGCTCCTCACACATCTAGCCCCTCACACGTTTCACCCCTCACACATTTCGCTCCTCTCACGTTTCGCCCCTCACACGTTTCGCCCATAACACGTTTCGACCCTCACACGTTTCGCCCCTCACACGTTTCGCCCTTCACACGTTTCGCCCCTCACACGTTTCACCCCTCACACGTTTCGCCCCTCACACGTTTCGCCCCTCACACGTTTCGCCCCTCACACATTTCGCCCCTCACACGTTTCGCCCCTCACACATTTCGCTCCTCACACGTTTCGCCCCTCACACATTTCGCCCCTCACACGTTTCGCCCCTCACACGTTTCGCCCCTTACACGTTTCGCTCCTCACACATTTCGCCCCTCGCACGTTTCGCCCCTCACACGTTTCGCCCCTCACACATTTCGCCCCTCTCACGTTTCGCCCCTCACACGTTTCGCCCATAACACGTTTCGCCCTCACACGTTTCGCCCCTCACACGTTTCACCCAACACACGTTTCGCCCCTCACACGTTTGGCCCCTCACATGTTTCGCGCCTCACACATTTCGCCTCTCACACGTTTCGCCCCTCACACATTTCGCTCCTCACACGTTTCGCCTCTCACACATTTCGCCCCTCACACGTTTTGCCCCTCACACGTTTCGCCCCTTACACGTTTGACCCCTCACACGTTTCGCACCTCACACGTTTTACCCCTCACACGTTTCATCCCTCACACATTTCGCCCTCACACGTTTCGCCCCTCACACGTTTCGCCCCTCACACGTTTCGCCCCTCACACGTTTCGCCCCACACACGTTTCGCCTCTCACACGTTTCGCCCCTTACACGTTTCGCCCCTCACACGTTTCGCCCCTCACACGTTTCGCCCCTCACACGTTTCGCGCCTCACAAGTTTCGCGCCTCACACGTTTCGCGCCTCACACTTTTCGCCCCTCACACGTTTCGCCCCTCACACGCTTCGCCCCTCACACGCTTCGCCCCTCACACTTTTCGCGCCTCACACATTTCGACCTAAAACGTTTCGTCTCTCGCACGGTTCGCTCCTCACACGTTTTGCCCCTCACAAGTTTCACCCCTCGCACGTTTCGCCCCTCACACATTTCGCCCCTCCCACGTTTCGCCCCTCACACGTTTCGCCCCTCACACATTTCGCCCCTCTTTTGCCCCTCACACGTTTCGCCACTCACACAGTTCGCCCCTCACACGTTTCGCACCTCACACGTTTCGCCCCTCACACGTTTCGCCCCTCACACGTTTCGCCCCTCACATGTTTCGCCCCTCACACGTTTTGCAACTCACACGTTTTGCAACTCACACATTTCGCCCCTCACAAGTTTCGTCCCTCACACGTTTCGCCCCTCACACGTTTCGCCCCTCACACATTTATCCCCTCACAAGTTTCGCCCCTCACAAGTTTCGCCCCTCACACGTTTCGCCCCTCACACGTTTCGCTTCTCACACTTTTCGCGCCTCACACATTTCGCCCTAACACGTTTCGTCTCTCGCACGGTTCGCTCCTCACACGTTTCGCCCCTCATACGTTTCGCCCCTCGCACGTTTCGCCCCTCACACATTTCGCCCCTCACACGTTTCGCCCCTCACACATTTCGCCCCTCACACATTTCGCCCCTCACACGTTTCGCCCCCCACACGTTTCGCCCCTCACACGTTTCGCACCTCACACGTTTCGCCCCTCACACGTTTCGCCCCTCACACGTTTCGCCCCTCACACATTTCGCCCCTCACACGTTTCGCCCCTCACACGTTTTGCACCTCAAACATATCGCCCCTCACAAGTTTCACCCCTCACACGTTTCGCCCCTCACACATTTCGCCCCTCACACGTTTCGCCCCTCACACATTTTGCCCCTCACACATTTCGCCCCTCACACGTTTCGCCCCTCACACATTTCGCCCCTCACACATTTCGCCCCTCACACGTTTCACCCCCCACACGTTTCGCCCCTCACACGTTTCGCACCTCACACGTTTCGCCCCTCACACGTTTCGCCCCTCACACATTTCGCCCCTCACACGTTTCGCCCCTCACACGTTTTGCACCTCACACATATCGCCCCTCACAAGTTTCACCCCTCACACGTTTCGCCCCTCACACATTTCGCCCCTCACACGTTTCGCCCCTCACACATTTCGCGCCTCACACATTTCGGCCCTCACACGTTTCGCCCCTCACACATTTCGCCCCTCACACATTTCGCCCCTCACACGTTTCGCCCCCACACGTTTCGCCCCTCACACGTTTCGCACCTCACACGTTTCGCCCCTCACACGTTTCGCCCCTCACACGTTTCGCCCCTCACACGTTTCGCCCCTCACACGTTTCGCCCCTCACACGTTTTGCACCTCACACATATCGCCCCTCACAAGTTTCACCCCTCACACGTTTCGCCCCTCACACATTTATCCCCTCACAAGTTTCGACCCTCACAATTTCGACCCTCACACGTTTCGCCCCTCACATGTTTCGCCCCTCACACATTTCGCCCCTCACACGTTTCGCTCCTCACACATCTAGCCCCTCACACGTTTCGCACCTCACACATTTCGCTCCTCTCACGTTTCGCCCCTCACACGTTTCGCCCATAACACGTTTCGCCCCTCACACGTTTCGCCCCTCACACGTTTCGCCCCTCACACGTTTCGCCCCTCACACGTTTCACCCCTCACACGTTTCGCCCCTCACACGTTTCACCCCTCACACGTTTCGCCCCTCACACATTTCGCCCCTCACACGTTTCGCCCCTCACACATTTCGCTCCTCACAC